GCCCCTAATCGCCTCCTACATACTTCCCAGTCACTCGAATGCAAGCTTTTGGCTGAGTCGGTGGGAAGGACATCAACCGCACCTGCAGACTTTCATATGGTGTGCGTGGATAACCCACGAGATGCAGAAGTTCCATCGACCCAGCACTACAGAAACAGGAGTCCATCTCATGGATCCACCTGCGTCTCTGGGAAAGTACCGGCGACTTTTGGTCGGCGATTCACGCGATTTATTCCCCTATCCTGCAGCTGGGGTCGCCCTACATGACCTCGCCTTTAACCTACTTGAGATCCTTCAGTGGAAGGAAACCCCAAGTGACCGAGTTCTGTAGCGTGAGCAAACTAGTAACCAAAATTTCGACCGTTCCCATCAGTTTGATGATAACATCAGAGACCTTAGCGACTATCTTAGAATGGACCTAATCAGTTTTTCCGGAATTTGCTTCAAAAAGGACATGATGCATAAAATTTTTGCATGGATGCAAATGGATTATACTCGTCTGTTGTTTGATTTATTTCAATGAAAAAACGACGCATTTTAAAGAATTTGGTTTACAATTTTATACCGGAAACATTTCAAATTTTCTCCATAGTCCAGCAAATCGCCAATTCTTCGACGGTGCAGTGCTTTTTTTTTCATAACACATGTGATACGATCGTGATGGAATCGACAATGGTCTTGTTCTGCTGCGACGTGTATCGGAAAACGTTGGACTAAAAGAAAAGGCCCATTTTGTGAGAAGAATGCTAAATTCACGAATCTGTGTATGAAATATTATGCTGTCCAGATATTTCACCCACCTCAACGTAGAATGATCGCTGTCCGGGGAGCATAACCATTCGATAAATTGCCGGACGGAATGATTCGAGTTTAAACACTACAAAATCATAAAAGTTGCCTTCATTTTGAAATTACAAAAATAGGGAGAAGAAGACTACCATGAAATGGGTTGCATTTATTTCAAAGCATCTAAGCAGTTTTCCTTTTTTATTTTATTTGGTAGGGGAATTACGTCATTTTAGTCATTTTACTTCTTCTGCGAGACGGATTTGACGGCATCAATAAGGAATTTCACATTTTTCGCTTCGAATTCTGCAAAAATGACCGTGGACAAATTAATAAAGTTAGCCCCAAAATGTGCTTATTTACGTTACTGACTTGAACAGAGCCGGTTTCTTCCTAGCGGTATGTCTCGGAATCGACTGAGCCAAATGACTTGCATGGCAGAAGGTTAGGGCGACATTTTGTAGGCGTCCGCTTTCTCCAGAAAGCGATCACAGTGGCTGACGTCAATTTTCAATGGCATCATATTCATCAACTACCAGCGCGACTGGCTTTTTCCTTTTCAGATTCTCCTGCTGGCTGCCATTGCTTAGTGATGAATGCTAGCACACTGATGAAAAACAAATACTTAGACATGGTGTTTTTTACTTTGAAATTTTGTGGGAGTCGTTTGGTAGGATACAATTTGAGGGAGGTTGTATGCATTTGACAAGGGAAGTATGGTGCAATATTGTGATTCTACCAAAAAGTTGCAAGACAGTAAACGGTAAAGGCACAGTTTACGATAAAAATGGTTCCTAGGATTTTCCCACAGAATGAATTTGAGGCCCTTCTTATACCATATCTGGCGCTATCATGATGGAAAACGGCCTAATTAGGGCGTTAAGGCTCGAGTGTATCCTCGGATGAAATTCACCGGCAATGTAGAGGCTGCACCGAGCACAAGGGAACCCATGTAGGAAGTTCAAACAACTTATCNNNTGGCCCATAGCGACAGCGAAAGACAGTTCTTACAGTTCTGACTTGACGTAGTCAGCTCTCTGTCCAATTGCAATAACTGTAATCTCGTCCGAATACTCCTTCCATGTTATTCCCACCTGGCAGTCTCGTCCAACCTCTATTTTCCCTACCTTTGAGGAGCCTTATTTTTCTCAGAATCCGCGAATTTTCTCGCTTTCTTTTCTACCAATGAACTATTCCCAACCTATACTTCCGCGTTCCGAATAAAAAGTGGTGCCTCAAAATTATCGTGAACTGTGCCTTTAACGAAGGATCCTTAAAGCGGTCTTGGTTGAGTTTAAGCCAATCCCACTATGTGTACTGTTTGAAATCGCATTGATGTTCGCAACCACTCCAGGAAAAATTTGTTACGATGACAGCGTGGCGCTGAAAATTTGTGTACGAGTTGTTCACCTTCGATGTGCATTCTGCGGACAATTTCAGCATCTTCCACGTGAACGATCGAATAAAATGAGACACCCTTCAGACCCGATGCAGTACATCTCTGATGCTCCCCGAAAATCTCTTCCGCTCTGAATGGGCTCACACATAGTACTACGACAAGTATTCAATTGATAGGCAACATCTAAGTTCGACCTGCTATCCACGTAGATGATTGAGAGGTCGATTGCTGTCGTTATGACAAAGGATGTTGGTCGGATTGAAACCGAAGATAAAATTGGTGAGGGAAGAGGAGAGCAGACTATCAGTCGGCATCCTCCGTAGAAGGTCATGTCCATTCGGAGCACCTGAACACATGAATCCTGGCATAAAAACATCTGAGAGGGCAATAAATGGAACCAACTCTTAGCTGCTGTAAGAGAAAAAGGAAAACTCACTTTGAAACCTGGTGACGCCCGCAGAGAATCTTTCTTGTTCGCTCGTTTTGTCAGAGAAGATTTCACCCGAACACTGCACATATCCGACCACATACAAGACGAGCAGAACACCTTCAAGGGCAATAAGTCGTTCCCGATTTTCCATGGACACTTTCAAAGTTCAAAGCTTACCAAATGAAATTGTGACCAATCTTCGGGATGGATATACTCAGCAATTGAGTTGCCGGTCATGTCGACCTGGAATACAATGTGGCACCATTCCCCACTAGAGGAACGGGGAAGTTCAGAACAGATATTCTTCAATTTTTAGTTTTAAAGGTATTACCCAATTGGCCCGGACCAAATAGGCCTAGGCCTATCAGGACATCCATTTTTGGGTATATGTTGACTGGTACCAAGGTGGTGTAGCAGTTTGGCTTTTGGCTTATACATCGTGTTGACCCCTCGAACGTCTACCCGAGCCCGGTAACACCATGATCTTTAGTTTGAATAGACTGAGTATATCCGAAAAGGTAATCGTCTTGGTAAACAGGTAAACACCACAAAGACTTCGTCCTTCTCTTTTTCATGGTTTCATGGCTTCCCTTATTTTCTGTTGATTCCAGGGGACGGCTTCCTTCTAAAAAAAGATTTAAAGCAATAGATTGAAGGTAAAACCTGCGACAGTCCGAGGTAGATGCTGATGGTTTCGCTAACGTAAAGCACATCACCTTCTGGATCCAAAACCATCAAAAAGCAATCCATCAACTGCAAAATAGAAAAGGAACTGTGAAGCCAGGTTTGATTAATTCGACGAAGACGCACCTCAAGCAGATTACTTGCCCAGTAGTGATCGTAATCTGAAAAGATTTAATCTGTAAATGTAACGTTTGCCGTTCTTAATGGCAAGGAAAGTCACTTAAGGCTGAGAAACCTACACACCAAAAATGCTAGGAGTCACACTGGGAATCACTTTATGCAGCTTGATATATGAAAGAGCCAACCGAATCATCGTCGTCTGAAAAAAATTGATCCGTGCTTTTTGCTATTCAATCGATTACAGTGGAGATTTTCATTCTGAAAAAAAATGCAAAAAATTGCTAGCTTTTGAGCCGGAATCGAGAAGTATTCACAATTTCGTGGAGTAAAGCCTGAGTTACCCGACTGCGCCACTCCATGAGGGGTCCCAGAAAGTTTTGCTGCATCTGGAAACTGTAGGAGGTAGTTTGGGATTAGTTGAACTCAGCTTACAGTCGTCCGTATAGCTATTTCTAGTATTCCCGTATAGCTGGTTCACCTGTAGGCGTTTTGAGGACTCCCACAGATGAGCCAGCCAAGCGGAAATACTCCCACCCAGTCCCATGCTGTCTTTCATATTAAAATGAAATAAATGGTAGGTTATTTATCGACAAACTGTACAGATTCAAATTATTACTTTGTCGATGTGTTGCCCAGTTATAGCTCTAGCCAACGGTAGTTCTCTGGCCAAATTCGAGAACTCGTCGTTTTCCAGGAGCCTTCGATGTTGTGCCAGAGTTCTGTTTGGACCACATAGCACTGGAAACAAAGTGGGATATCTTACAAAAGCCCTTGAGGCCAAATTCCTGAGGTCACTTTCTACGAAAATTGGCCAAATATAAGGTCATAAGAAGCAAACTTACTTGCCACTCGTTGTTCTTCTCAGTGCCCATTCTGAATGGCCTTCTGTTTATAGAAGGCATCTTTACCGTAGTCTAATTAACTGCATTACACATGTGCACATTGTGGTAATTTGAGAGTATAATTGCCTCAAAATGGCTCTTCGAATTACAAAGCATGCTGGTGTACCATCAGCTTGTTCCAGTAACTCACCGACTCTGAAGATTTTAGCGTACTGAAAAATGTCTCAAATGAATTGTTATAATACATCCAAGGCCCCACCCACTGCACGTGCTCATTCCCTTTCCGTGGACCAATAACTTTTCGTGGCCATCTCGAAAAAAATTAAAGCAGGATGCAGTAATTTTATAAGATTTTATTAAAACCTGATGCCAAGATGGTAAACAAGTTCTTATCAACTTACGTTTCGGCGTTATCGCCTTCCTCAGAGTTGGAAACCTAAAGATAATTGCTATCCATTCCTCATTCAACAC